GACTCAAGGTTCGGAGGAGAATGCTCGGTAATATTAGACTTATTGGTGAGTTATACAAGAAAAGGATGTTGACTGAGAAAATCATGCACGCATGCATCCAGAAGTTGCTTGGGTATGATCATGATCCACATGAAGAGAACATTGAAGCTCTGTGTAAACTAATGAGTACGATAGGAGTTATGATCGATCATCAAAAAGCCAAGAACAATATGGATGCATATTTTGCGAAAATGAAAACGCTATCACGCAAACAAGAATTGCCTTCTAGGGTGAGGTTCATGTTAATTAATGCCATCGATCTGAGAAAGAACAAATGGCAGGAGAGAATGAAGGTCGAAGGGCCAAAGAAAATTGAAGAAGTGCACAGAGATGCTGCACAAGAGCGCCAAACTCAAGCTAACAGGCTTGCACGTGGACCCTCAATGAATTCGTCAACAAGAAGGGCACATATGGACTTTAGCCCTAGGGGAGGAGGAGGAATGCTGTCACCTCCAAGTGCGCAAATGGGTGGTTATCATGGAACACCTCAAGGTCGTGGCTTTGGTAATCAGGACATTAGATTTGATGAAAGGCCACCTTATGAGCCTAGGATGGTCCCAATGCCTCAAAGGTCAGTAGGTGAGGAGCCTATCACCTTGGGTCCCCAAGGTGGTCTAGGTCAGGGAATGTCTATTAGAAGGCCTGCAGTAGTGTCAAACACTATGCAGTTTGATGCTACTCAGGCCGGTGGTGGAGATTCTAGGCGACCGGCTGGTGGTTTGAATGGTTTTGGCTCACAAAGACCTGCAAGCCCTGTTACTCACGGACGTTTGTCAAGTCCTCAAGAGCGGGGAACAGGATATACTCACAGGGAATTTACAAGTGTGTCTCGTGCTTCTGATCTGTCATCAGAAGTTTCATCTGCTAGGCAAGTACAACAGGGGCCATCATCAACAGTAAACAGCCCTCGAGAAAATCCTTTGCCTGAGGAACGGCTACAGGAGATGTCCTTGTCTGCCATTAAGGAATATTACAGGTACTATATCCCTACTTTCTGGCTGGTCATGTGTTTTGTTTTTCTCATAGTCATCGGATACTGCTACAGTTATCATATCACTCTTTTGAAATCTGCATAGGTACAAATTACATTGAATTATGTTTTAATTAGAATTGGTTCCTTTGTCCAAACAGAAGGGTAAAAAAATACAAGAGATGATCATTGTTCCTTGATTTTAATAGAATCTCTCTCTAATAAATGGTGATTAGCTGACTAATAATATGCCCTTCGATATAGTTTTCTACCACGTGACAGTTTAAAGCTGTCCTTTTTTTTTCCTTCTGGTTGTAGAGTTATGTTGTTAGTTTCTATCGTTGCGGTCACCCACTTATGTAGAAAAACACTGGTGAAATTTCAACTACTGTGTTGTTGTGCAGTGCCCGAGATGAGAAGGAGATTGGTTTATGCATGAAAGACATGAAGTCGCCAGATTTTCACCCAACAATGATTTCTCTATGGGTTACTGATTCATTCGAGAGAAAAGACAAAGAAAGAGATCTTTTAGCAAAGCTCCTCGTGAACCTCGTGAAATCTGCTGACAACGCCTTAACAGACGTCCAACTAGTGAAAGGGTAAGTAAAAGAAACCAACCAAGAAATCTCTTCTAAGATGAGAAAAAATGTTCTTTCTTTAAACCTGTTTTCCTTGACAGGTTTGAGTCAGTTTTGACAACCCTGGAGGATGCTGTAAATGATGCTCCAAAAGCAGCAGAGTTTCTTGGGAGAATATTTGGTAAAAGCGTGACAGAGAGAGTAGTGACATTGACAGAGATTGGTCGGCTAATCCGCGAAGGAGGAGAAGAACCAGGAAGTTTGATAAAGTTTGGGTTAGGAGGTGATGTTCTTGGGAATGTTTTGGAGACGATAAAGACAGAAGCAGGAGAAGAAGCTTTGGTTGAGATTCGCCGGAGCTCTGGTCTGAGGATTGATGAGTTCAAACCTCCTGCACCTAACCGGTCTAAGATATTAGAGAAATTTACTTAGGAAAAAAACAAAAACAAAATGGGAACCTATATCTTTTGGAGGGTTCCTTCTTTTTCTTCTCTTAAAAGTCCTTTTTTTTTTTAAGTGCTTCGACAAAACTAATTTGTTTAAAAAAGGGAGTTTCTCTATTTTATTATATAGTAAAAACCCTCCAAAATTTCCATTTCGCTTTCTATAATTTATATATGTCACCTTTAAAAAAAGAGAAAATTAAGAAAATAGGTCAAAAAAAACAATCTAAATTAAAGATATACACCGTGTTTTTTGATATTAGAGATATAAGCCATTGTTGACTTTGTTACTTTTAAGTTGTTTTACTTAAAAAAATATATATATATTTTTCCATCGTCGTTCTCCGATTTTCCTTTCTCCGGCTAAAACAGTAATTACCATGGAATGTCGCTTTCACTTTTTGGAAGGCTACGGAAGAAGCTGTGGTGCTTCCATTTTCACGTAACCCTAGGATCCGAGCAGTCCCGAAATCGCTGACGTGAGCTACTCGATCGCCGTCGAGAAGTATATTCGCCGGTTTCAAATCGCAGTGAACGATTGGGAATCCAAACCCAGAATGAAGAAAAATCGATTCCGCTCGCGATGTCAACGCATAGATCGATTCTAGCGATCCAACCGATGCAGACCCGTGAATCGCACTCTCCAAACTTCCATTCTCCATAAATGGAAGCACCAAAGCTTTCATTTTCCACTCTCCCAAGCAAACCCTAAGATTTTGACGAGGTTCCGATGCTTTAACTGGCTTAGTGTTTTAACTTCTGTGTAGAACCATTTATCTGATTCTGCAGAGAATTGCTTCACATTCAATACTGCAATCACTGTCACATCTTCTAGTTCACCTTTGTACACTGTGCTTAAACTGCTTGAACCAATGATGTTTGCAGTGTTGAAACTATATGTTGCTTGTTCCAACTCCTTTGGTTCGAATCTCTTGTGACAAGTTTAGCAGTTTTTGTCTCTTGTATAACCTCTTTGAATCTTTGTTATGGAAGACTGTACATGGATCCTCTTGGTTCCTTGATTGATCCTACTTATCAAAATTTCTTGTTGCAATAATTAGTTCATAGTGCACTTGTACAAAGTATACAAACTAATACAAGTAACAATATAAACAAACTATTACCCTTCCAAAATCTTCAATATATATAGATATAGATCCAAATATTGGGGAAGAAATTGGTAAATGGCCTGGAATTGTTGTAACAAGACTTTTGCATTAATTCATTTCAAAATTATCTAACAGAAATATGTATGCTTCCATATATCCAGTTCAAAGAATTCTCAATGATAGTCAAGTACCATCTGAAGTTAGGGAACAAAAATGTTTACCTCCTAAAGGGCGACGTAATAGAGGTCGGCCAAARAAAGGTAGATATCTTTCTCCGTTAGAGGTTACGATGAATAACAAGCGACCACGACCAGAGAACAAATGTTCAAGATGCAAGCTTACAAGACGTAACAAAGCAACGTGTCAAACGCCATTGCCGTGACCTTGTTTTCTGATTTTTAGTTTCATTAAGCTTTCATGATTTGTGGTAGTTTTGCACCTTTTTGACGATTTATGACAAGATTGGGCATTGTCTTTGTGATTTTGGACTCTTTGTTCTACTACTTATTTGCAACTGAGGTTTGTTTTCTCCTTAACCSTYAAGTCTTYTGTTAGAGTCAATGACAAAATGTTGGCTTAGTAATCACAAAAGAGAACCAAAATCGATCAAGTTTTCAATTGCAAAAGTATGATCAATATAACAAAGTAAGAGAATCTTAAACAAGCTTTTCTTTTCGTGACCGCCGYGACCAGCGTCAWTGTTACTTTCAAAARYTTTGTATTTATGTTCCTTGTAACGCATGTGTGGAGTGTAATGAAAAGTGACGTTGCATCTCCGAAATTATCATCGGAGATCAACTCTCCACAATCTTGGGCTCCAAGTAACTTATATTTTAACTACTACTTTGCAAATTTTATGGTCAAAGGAAATTTCAACAAAATAATGTAAGAAATAATGAGAACAACCTATTTTTCTCAAAAAAAAATAAAAAAATAACGATCTCTTTATTAGACATCATCCTCTGTTTCGAGCTTCACCATTAATAAGGAACAAGCACGACTTGCCGTTTTTCAACAATTGAAATGGCATGTAGTGCATTTACATGACAATAGGACTGTATAATTAACTTTGGCTCCAATACCTGAGTAATAAAAGTAATGAGTTGATGCTGACACCAAAATAGGAGAATATAAGCTTAAATCCAGAGCGACAATCATTACTTGTATCTTTGCAATAGTCATCGGATCAAGAAGCTTCTAGGCGGCATGCCAAAGCAAAGTCATGAATCCAATCCATGTATTGACAATGAACATTCAGTGCAAAGTCTGCAAGAGTCAGAGACCATGATTACAAACTTTTAGAGCAACCGAAATATCCAAGACACGTCTTTTAATTTTCATCAAGCCTTGTCCACTCGGCTCTTTGGGTCCGTGAAAAAAAAGTGTATTCTTCAAAGAGTTATATACCTCAGGGTAATAATTGCAATCCACTTTAGCAATGGAGGCCAGGAGATTTGCAGCAGTAGGAGAAAAGTTCTTCATACCTTGAATTACAACTATTAGAGCAATGTCACAATTCATAAGAAAAAAAAAATCGTGTGATCACTCTCTAGAACATCTATAGATGAATTAACCATACCAGGCCTTCAACATCCAGTATTGTGGTTGTTGTAGTAACCAAATGTCAGTATTTGTGTTGAAAGCAACAATATAGATTTCAAACAACCAAAAAAGTATCATTTGTTGAAATTTCGACAAAGGTAAAACAAAGTTTCCATGTTCCTTGAGTTGGTCGTTTACCAGAAATCCGCTATCTTTGACATAAATTCGGTAAAGGATAACATATCTGCATAACCCCAGGCTCGTTCATTGTCATCAAACTAGTGAGCTATTTCTTAAAAAAACAGAAAACAGATTTAAATATCAATGCGCATAACGTATCATATATATACAATCAAACAATTATGAAACATCCACCTTATAATCATGAAAATACTCACCTTTATGTTGAGAATCAATGAACCTTAAACCTTGAATCATTATATCCACGTAGACCAAATTTTCAAATCTCTTCCAAAATCTTAGTCTATCTATTCATCGTCGGAAATTGCGTTGGTCGCAAAAAGTGGAAGCGAGACTCCATGGTGATTGCTGCTTTGRCCGGAGAAAGAGAAATTGGGGAACGATGATGGAAAAATATTTTTTTTTTATTTTTTTAAGTAAAACAACTTAAGGGTAACAAAGTTAACAATAGCCTATATCTCTAATATAAAAAAAAAATATGGTGTATATCTTTAATTTAGATTGTTTTTTGGCCTATTTCTTTAATTTTCCCTTAAAAAAATAATTAAATAGTTGGTTTTAGAGCACAAAGAGCTACTTGGCAGATCGAAATAATGTGATTTGGTAAATGTACAATCTGCAGAAATAAGCCAAAAATTTGATATAATTATTTCTTGGCAGATTGAAATAATTTGCTTGCATTATGATTTTTCTCGTTTAATTATAAGACAGGTTTAACACGACAATGGTTGTCGAC